CCTCCCCCCCACCCCCCCTCCCTCCCTCTTACCAAAGGGGAGTTCGGGAGAATTTACTCACAGTTCTCATCTCATTTCAACAAGCACTTCCCCAAGAAACCAAAGAGTTCACAAGTTTTTCCTCAAAGCTATAGCTAGTGCATGGAGAAACGTATATAGATGAGCATAAAGTTTCACTCCTTCACCAGAAACATAGAGCACGCATTCTGTGGGTTATCATGATGATCAGTAGATCCTTGAAGCATGTCATAGAAAAAATGCAGAGCAATGAGATCCCCAAATTTCAAAAGTGAAGTTTAAATTTCTTCATGTGTATATCCAGGCATCCATGTCTTCGTTCATGAACATGGTAAACCATGAAAATATGAGACTGAAAAAGAGCATGAACTCAACGACCCATCTTACTTGGTTTCTACAGTTTCAGAGAGATCAATATTCTTATCATGTCGTTTAATTGTTATAGCCCCTACGCTAAGATACATGCCCTAAATATCCACAAGAAAAACTACTTTAAAAGTCTAGGACAGATATTACACGCATAAAAGCTAAGATAAGGGATAAAGTGTGGATATCCTAAATAATCAAACTATGTGTTCAATCAAGGGAGACATGTAAACTTACTAGAACAATGGTCCAATTGGGTACACAAGGTAGATTTACTTAATGAACCAATTGAAAGAAGTTAACAAAATGATCAACTTTTACCTTTTGTGAGAAAATATCAAGGGCACTCTGTCCACTAGTGAGCATTGCAGCAGCAACGAAGACAGCTTTCGAAACTTTAAAGGAATAGAGCTCCATTGCAAAAGATATACATGCACCGCCAAAATCATGTCCCACCAAAATCACCTACATGGTTAAAGATATGATTCCAATTTTTAATAAACAATGGCTGAGCAAACATAGTTATGAAGAAGGGGGATAAGGATTTTCCTTTGTGGTTAGGTGGGATTTGGAGATTTCACAAATCTCAGCATGCATATCTTCAATATCACGAAGCAATATATCCAAGCCCCATTCTATGACTAATTAACACGTCCAATCAGCATAAGAAAATAGATTATTCCAACGTAAAACTAGAAAACTTTTCCTTCATTTTATCATCAATTTTTGATCTTCACCTACCTACTGCAACAAGGGCTTGGCTAGGAAGGGGGGAGGGGGTAAGACCTTTTGATTTATATATACAGCTAGTTCATATAACAACTGCTGATATGACTTTTTCCTTCTTGTTCCTATGTTTTCTGATTTAGATGCAACACTTTGGGTCACTTGTCTCGACTTTCAGATGAATTGTGTTGAAACAGCTTGAGGTTTGCTTATCAGAGATGTGACTGTTTATCCTTTGTAGGTCTTCATTTGAGGAGGAGGGATGGGAGAAGGTTGCAGTTAGTGAATAACGTCTATTACAGCAAGAATGAGAAAGATCTTCCTTCAATGACAACAAACAATGGAGAAGCGCGTGAATTTGCATTCGGGTACAAGAATTTTGTAACAGAAAACTTGGCAAAGCATAAAAGTGTATAGATATAATGCTTTCAAGTATGCTAAGTCCTTATAAATGCTTTTACCAGTCAATCTCCAGAAGTGGCCCCGAATTAGGAAGCAGATCATTTTTCTTTAAAGCTCTGAGTTTCCAAAAGAATGCAAGATATAATAATGGGTTCAGTCAGAAATCGATAGCTAGAAATGGTGCAGAACTAACCTTCTCTCCATCAGCAAGCTTTTCAAGGAAATCAGTGAGTGGCTGCACATATTGTGATAGACTTGCAATGCTATTTGTGTCAAAAGAATGTATGCCTGAACCAGTTAAATCAACTGCAGTAACTTTAAATCCAGCTTCTTCTAAGAGTGCAATGGTTTTATACCAACACCAGGCCCCAAATCCACCACCATGAACAAGGACAAAATGGTTTGTCTCTAAATCATCGACTTTTAATTCCTGCCAAAGATAGACATCGAGAAGACTGAATATAGACAAACACAAACTCACATCATGACACCTTAGTAGCAAGCAACAAGAATCTTTTTCCTTTGGGATAAATAGCAGAAAGATTGTCTTTTTAATTTTCCTATAGCAAGAATAAGCCCAACTGCTGGATGTATGATAACACACAAACAAGAAAAAAGAAAGAAGCTAAATTCAAAAATGAGGTTGTCTATCGTTTACACTTTCTTGATGAGTTATCAGGAACTACTACTTTATAGAAGTTTTAATGACTTTAAAGGGATTGAACCACTACAAGTGAAAATATGTTCTTGAACAAGCCTAATCTAAACCTAGAAAGTGGCTCAATTTCTTTCATTTATGTTTCAGATTGCAGGTAATAACAATCTATGAGATTTAATAATCAAATCACATTAGCATCACTTGGTTGTGCTGTTTCTTTTTTCCTTTTAAAAACTTAATATACCAAATAGGTTTTTTCCTTTTCTTCTAAACAATAACCTAAAACAATGTCGTTCTCGACTATTTCACTGGGTACTCAGCTACATCACACCAACATAGGCATCAGGCAATTCTGTGTAATTCTGCCCACTGAGGCTTAGTTCTCCAAGGTTTGCACCCACCTCACTTCATTGATCACTAGGCCACACCCTTGGGTGTGAACTCCATTTTCTTCTGAATATTAATATAGTTTACACTTTCAAGCAGAGTAAAATTCTCGAGTTACATGATGCAACATCTAATTTAGGTAATTGTAAGTTAGTGTTGATTTAAATCAATGTTAGTTTTTTATTTTTTGGTGAATTCCCTTCATACTTAAATTTCAGTGTACTTCAGTTCAATTACCTATAAAGGCAATTCTGAATAACACAATAAAAAATCCTGAATATATTAGTCTAATATAACAATTTTTTTATCGCAAGGTGCACCGAATCTAATCTATAATGGAATACAGCTACCGCTCAAAAGCTACGAATTAATCGCCGATCGAAAAAAAACGAACAAAGAAAAGGAAATCAAGCAAATGCCAGAAGTGGAAAGTAAATAACAGAAGTGGGGAAAAACATGAAAAAGCATTTACACACCTGGTTACTAACAAGCTGGTGAGGCTGAAGAAGAGGATCAGTAAGTGACCGCGCCCTAGAGCTAGAGCTACGGGGCAGCGGTTGATTCTTCTTGGAGTTCGAATTCGGATACCGAAGCGAAGTCGAACGATCAAAAGGAACAGCGCCGCCTCCGCCTCTGCCGTTTTGCAGCTGCTGCTGGAACAGAATCGCAGCGGCGAGAGCTCGTTCCTGAATAAGGGAATCGTCTCTCTTCGTCGATCTATTCCTAGACCACCTGTTGCTTCCGTTGACGGCGCCGCCACTAACGGCAGCCGCCGATTGATTCGTTAAACGTCTGGATGTTGGCCGCTTCTTCACGGTGGAATTCCGTGAGAGACATAAACCCATTTCCGATTGATTGTATGTTTACATGCAAATGGTTAATACAGGAATATGTACAATAAGAAATGCGATTACGTACAAGTATCTGATGCTTGCGCAAAGCAGTTGAGAGTTGAGCGAGAAGAAGATGGTTACCAGTTCCACTATTGCTTTATTTGTGCTAAGAACTGTTTTTGTTTGTAAAGGTGATAAAAAGCGTGGAGTGGATATGAAGATGGCCATGATTTTGATTTTTATTACTAAAATAACCTCGGTTTAACAACCACATTTCTTACTAATTTTTTTCCTCTTATGTACCAAAAGTTTCCATCAAGGGAAAAGGAAAACAGAAAAGGAGAAATAAAACGGAACGTGTGTAGGATTTCTGGGGAGACAGTTGGATTTATGATGATCATGGGCATGGAAGTTGTACATTTGTCATTCCTACATATATTTAATCATAATTAACTGACATATAATTTCACCTTAATATAAGTATTTGCATATATAGCTCTTTTACATTTATATTGTATTGACAGTTCGTTTATATTATTTCATTCTGTATTATATTCGACAATCTATAAAATTTCTTGTTCTTCTTACAATAAGTTATCTAAAATTAAGTACAAAATCTATCATATTGCTATCTCCCGTAAATATTAGGAGTAAATGCTAAGGAATATATGAACAAATCGATAACAATTTTAGGTGCGGGAAGGTCTCATTAATTTAAATTGAAATGTGAAGAAATTGCTTTTTTAGGGAGAGAGACGTAACGTTTTAAAGTAGGAGTTTGCTAATCCATGTATGCGCTCCCGCTTTTTCCCACTAACTTGCTCGTGTGACCTCAAAAAGCACCTTTTCCCTGTTCTAACCAACACACCTCAAAAGCTTTTCTTCTTTTATCAGCACGTCTCTTTACATCTCATTTTACTTAGTAATTTATTCTTGCTTTTTTTGTCTGCCCTTAATCTAATCTTGCTTAATTAGTCTAGTACTAGTATTATGTCTCAATTGTTTTGGTCAATATACTACTACTGATGTTAGTTACTAAAATCTAAGGACTAAATAAATCTAGCAGCAAAACTGAAAGCAACGCGTCCCTAAATCAAAGAAATAAAGAGTGAAGTAGGGGTGTACATTCGATTTTGACCCTTATCGATAACTACTTATCAATTAACGATTTGTACATATGCTTATCATTATCGTTTGAATAAGGTTTCGATTTTTTCAATTTCGATTTATCGATTTTTGGGGCTTATCGATTCGGTTATCGATTACACCAATAAGAAAATTTGCGGGATTCCACGGAAAGTATATCGCTATAAACACGCCTAATTAATATGGACCAAAAGAAGCTAAAATAAGACGAACACCGTTTATAACATAAAAATTGTGTCAACAAGCACATGCAACGAAACTAAAGTAAGGGATCAAATGTATGCCACCAACACTCCAACGGTATAAAAAAAAATACATCATCACGGCTAATTCTATTTTCCATTAATTTGAACTTCATTCCCTGAGCTTTAAATATGATCATTTCTTAAATGTGGTAGATGAAATAATAGGGTTAGGGACTTAAAGTAAAGGAAAGGGTATTATAGAATAAGGGTAAAAAAAAAATTAAAAAAAAATTTTAAAAAAATTAAATTTTTTTAAAAGTATTTCTTATCGGTTTATCGATAAATCGATAAACTGATAAACCGATATCGATAAACCGATAACAAATAATCGATTCGATTTATCGATAAACCGATTCGAATGCACACCCCTAGGGTGAAGTGCAGAGGGAGGAGGAGGCAGGCAACTACGCAACTAGGTTCTGGCCGGTTAGTAATGGGGCGGCCGAAACTTAAATAATGATTTTTTGGACACAAAGCACAATTTTAATGTTAAAAAAAAAGTTACATTAATAGGTAATTCGCAGTATAATACTGCGAATTGCTTTAACGGAAATTTAGCCGTTAAAGCAATTCGCAATATTATACGGCGAATTATTAAAAAAAATATTTTTTTTTAGCAATTCGCAGTACTATACTGCGAATTGCTTAAAATGGACCCAGCTTTTTTTCAAAAGGCAATTCTCACTATTATACTACGATTTAGGGTAATTCGCAGTATAATAGTGAGAATTGCCTTTTGAAAAGTTATCTTCTTCCCTGACAGAACTCCCCCACCTCCAATAAAAAAATGTTCTCCTCAAATCTGGTTCCCCACCCCCGTGATTTTTTTTTTAAAAAAAATTCGGCCCCACCCGTCACCTTAAGAGCAAGGAGTGTAGGTCCCAGGCACAAGACAAGCTTTGGATTCCTTCTCTCGATCGTAGTATTCCATTTCAATCAAATTCAAAAAACTTAAATCGAGGTATTTCGATTTTATTTATGTAGAAGCTCGTATAATACATGCATATTTGTATTGTTTAATGTGTTTCCGTATTAATTTGTGTTATGTTTGTGCTTAAATTTGTATCTTATTTATACACGACTTGATTTATTAGTTTTGGTAAAAAAAAATGTTAAAAGTTGATAAATTATTTGTATTTTAAATGTTATGTTTTTATTTGGTTAAATAAAAAATTAATATTATTTTGTTTGTTTGTTGTTCATATTTGTATTTTATGTTAGTTGTTTTTATATGTAATAGTGACCTTTTAGCGTAGTAAAATAAATAGCCTTTTAGCGTAGTAAAATATAGA